ATATATATATATGTAATAAAATATAAAATTACTACTTAATACTTGTACTACTATTCCTACTTGGCATTTTTCACTTATCGTAGGTCTTCAGGGTACAGATCCCCCATGATAAACAAGGGACTGCTGTAACTCAGTTAATTTTATCCTGATGCATGCTCAATTATCCAGGAAAAAAAATCCCAAAAAGTTAAGTCAGGTCCTCTGGACAAATAATTAAAAAAACAAAAAAAACAAAACAACTTGTTGAAACATTTTGTCAGTTAATTTGACTAATATTGAGATATAACTTTGTGTGGTATTAGCGAAGAGCCATACACATCACATATTCTGAAAGCGATGCACAAAACATTTTAAGGAGTTGGAAGGAGTTTGTTGAGGAGCTAATGAATGACAAAAATGAAAGAAGATCAGAGGTCATAAAATCTTTGGACCAGGAAATAAGAAAGATTAGTGAGGAGGATGAAGAAGGGGTAGGCAGTAGGACCTGATGAGATACCAGAAGAGATTTGGAAATGTCTAGGAGAGATAGCAGTGAGGATTTTGGCTCGATTATTCAATATTTTTTGAGGAAGCAAATGCCTGAGAAATGAAGGTGTCTTCTTCTTTCTGCTTTTCCCACTTCAGGGGTTGGAACAGAAAGTCATCCTCCTCTGTCTCACTCTGTCCTCTACATCCTCTGTCTTCAATCCAACTACCTCCATGTCCTGTAACAGCATTCATGTATCTCCTCTTGTCTTTTTCCAGGCATCTGCATTTCTAACGTCCTTCTAACAATATACTCACTGTCCCTCCTCTGGACATGTCCAAACCATTTCAGTGTGTCCTCTCTAACTTTATCTCCCAGTTGTTCAACCTGTGCTGGAACTGCAACTAAACATTTCCAGTAACTGTTGATCAGTACTGCACTCTGGCTTGGAGGAATGTTGGTCCATTCCAGTATTCTCCTGATAGTGGACTCATGAACATGAACATTAACATTAGTCAATGTAAGAGAGGCCTTCAGCTGCTTAGAAGTTACCCTGAGGTCCTTTGTGATCTCGCCAACTATTCCACACCTTGCTCTTGGAGTGATCTTTGTTGGTCCACCACTCCTGGGGAGGAAACAATCGTCTTGTATGTCCTCCATTTGTATGCAGTCTGTCTGACTATGGATTGGTGGAGTCCAAACTCTTTAGATATGGTTTTATAAACTGTTCCAGCCTGATGAGCATCAACAACTCTTTTTATGAGCTCCTCAGAAATCTCCTTTGTTCCTCCATGATCCACTTGCACAGGCATGTTGTGAAGAGCAGACTCTGATGGATCCTGATCTTTAAATCAAACAGGGTGACCACTCACACCTGATCATCATCCCACTGACTGAAAGCACCTGACTCTAATTTCACCTTCAAATTAACTGCTAATCCTCGAGGTTCACATACTTTTACCACTCACTAATATGTAATATTTTAGTCTCATTTGTTTAACTGGGTTCTTTTTATCTACTGTTAGGACTTGTGTGAAAATCTGATGATGTTTTAGATCATATTGATGCAGAGATATAGACAATTATAAAGACCTCACAAACATTCAAGCACCACTGTACACTTTAAGCTTTCAACTGCCTGTTAAAAGTTGTCATCTCTTCAAATCTGAGGCATGTGAGATTTACAGAGCCGAACACAGCATTTATAAACATAGTTTCTAACATGTTCCAAGGATCATGGTGTGTTTACTATCAGTCACTCACAGATTTGTGTGTCTTTTGTTTCCATCTGCTTTATGAAGTACACAGACAGTGTTTCCTCACACTTTTCACTGTGAGTAGAAGAAAAACAACAAACGATACATTTCTGAAGTGAAGTAAGCTGATTAAGAGATGAGAGCAACTTGGGAAAATTCCAGTACAAACTGAAGTTCTTCATAAATCATCACATCACTTTAGTAGATCCTGAGCTGGTGGTGGATTTCCACAGGCACAGACCCACCTCACTGACCCCGGTGAACATCCAGGGAGTGGACATTGACATCATGGACTCTTACAAGTACCTGGGTGTTCACCTGAACAATAAACTGGACTGGTCTCACAACACTGATGCACTTTACAGGAAGGGTCAGAGCAGACTCTACCTGCTGAGGAGACTGAGGTGTTTTGGAGTGCAGGGGGTGCTCCTGAAGACCTTCTTTGACTCGGTAGTGGCATCAGCCATCTTCTGTGGTGGTGTGTGTTGGAGCAGCAGCTTATCATCAGCTGAGAAGAAGAAGCTAGATAAGCTCATCAAGAAGACCAGCTCTGTGCTTGGACGCCCCCTCGACCCAGTGCAGGTGGTGGGAGACAGAAGTAAAATAAACGTAGTGTTATAAAACAATAAATCAAGGTGCCGTATAGAACATGGTAAAATACTAAAAACAAGAACATAAAACAAAAACATAATAAAGCATACTTGATATGTTTATAAATAAGCATATGTTTTGTGTTTTATAGTAGGTAGATAACTTGCACTTGGTCATTTTAAAAGTAGCTTGCATGCTGAAAAAGTGTGGGCACCTCTGGATTAGATATAGTTTGGCTCACTTTGACGCACAGTATGGACTCCAGAACCAATCTCCTTGAAAAGGACTGGACCTTATTCAACTCTGGAATTGCCCATGGTGAGAGGTGCCAAGCTGGTGTTGGTCTACTTATACTCGGTAATATTATCCCAGTAGATTAGAGGGTAGGATCCTTGTGCCTTCAGGTGGGGTGATGGGCTCTGACTGTTGTTTATGCCTACACAACTGCAGTTTGGAATACCAAGCCTTCTTGGTGTCCTTAGGAGGTGTGTTGAAAGGTTCTCCAGGTGAAGACTCTTTTATTTTGCTAGGGGACCTCAATGCCCATGTAGATAATGATAGTGTGACCTGCAGGGGCATAATTGGGAGGAACGGCCTTTCTGATCTAAACCCAAGCAATGTTCTGTTTTTGGACTTCTGTACTAGTCATGGTTTGTCCATCATGAACACCATGTTCGAACATAAGGGTGTCCATAAGTGCACCTGGCGCCAGGACACCTTAGGTCACAGATTGATGATAGACTTTGTTGTCATGTCATCTGATCTGTGGCCATATGTTTTGAACACTCACATAAAGAGAGGAGCTGAGCTGTCAACTGATCACCACCTGGTAGTGAGTTAAATCAGATGGCCGGAGAAGATCCAAATGAGTAGTGAGGGTTTGCTGGGAACATCTGGCAGAAGAACCCATCAGAAGAATCTTCAACTCCCACCTCTGAGAGAACTTCAACTGCAGCCTAGTAAAGGGCGGGGGGACATTGAATCCAAGTGGGCCATGTTCCGTGCCTCCAATGTCAAAGCGCCTGCCTTGAACTGTGGCCGGAAGGTTGTCTGTGCTTCTTGCAATGGTCATCCTTTAACTCTGTAGAGTAAACCCCTGGCTTAGGAGTCTGTCAAGCTGAAGAAGAAGGTATTGGTGTTGTTAGATGGTAGGACTTTGGAGGCAGCTGAGGGGTACTGGCCAGCCATGCGAGCTGTAATCTAGAAAGCCGTAGTCTATTTATAAAAACAATCTATTTATTGGTTCCAAAATTCTCCACATAATGTCCAATAATTATTATTTTTTTAAAGTTCTCAGAAATGTTCCACCCCTTTGCTACACTAGTGCAATACCCCCACCCATGGTCTGATCAAGAGACTACTATTAGTGCAAGAAGCTCTAAAATAACAACTGATCCAACCAATATTCTCCCTTTCCATTATTCTATCCTGGGTGTCTGCAGGTGGTGATAAACTGTGCCATTCCCAAGGGGCTGAAGTACAACCAGGCCACGCAGACTTTCCACCAGTGGCGTGATGCTCGACAAGTTTATGGCCTCAACTTTGGCAGCAAGGAGGATGCCAATGTATTTGCCAGTGCCATGATGCATGCATTGGAGGTACTCAACTCCCAAGACACAGGTGAGATACTCCCCTATATTTTAGAAGGTCTTATAAAGAAGCCTCAATGATTTAATATCAGTGGATGAATTAGCCCAAGCGCAGCACGGTGGCACAACTGGTAGAGCTGCTGCCTCTCAGTGAGCAGGTCCCCAGTTCAAATCCCGGTCCAGGGGCCTTTCTGGGTGGAGTTTGCATGTTCTCTCCGTGCATGCGTGGGTTTTCTCCAGGTACACCGGTTTCCTCCCACAAACCAAAAACTTGTATGTTAGGCTGATTGGTAACTCTAAATTGTCCCTAGGTGAAAGTGAGAGAGTGAATGGTTGTTTGTCTTGTTTGTCTCTATGTGTCCCTGTGATGGACTGGAGACCTGTCCAGGGTGTACTCCGCCCCTCGCACAGTGATTGATGGACATGGGCACTAGTGACCCTCGTGACCCAAAATGGAAGAAGTGGTAAAGATAATGGATGGATGGATGGATGGATGAATTAGCCCAAGCAGTTTTAAGTTTACTTGTTTGTTTATATGAACGTTGATGACATTTTTGGGACATGTTGAAATAGGTGCATGACTTTATCATAGGTATATGAAGCAGATGTCCATTTTGGAACTCTGTTTCACTTTGCTTATTGATTATGTTTAATTAATTTAGGCACAAAACAACCTGCAAACTTATTGGGTAGTTTATTTTAAGTGTAGTTTTCTTGTTTTCTCAGTGACCAAAGTAATGAGTTCCATTACAGTGTGGGATATTTAGCTCCCATCTCAAGGCATCTTTTGAGTGTATACTCCATGTAGTCTGCTGTTACTTTGTTGTGTTTGTACATTTGCATATTATGTACTGTGCAGCTGTTTGCTGTACTTAAAACTGATTCCATTCAAGGATAATACCTCATATCTTGTGACAAAATGGTCACTGTAAAGGAGTTTCAAAGTGCAGTAAATGTTCAAAACCATGCATCACATGAACTATTTCTGGGAGCCCTTTGCCTAAAGTACATTGCAGATTCTCTGCATTTTGGACCAGTTGTTCTGAGTTTTCATTGACTCCATAATTCAAGGATTCAAGGATTTTTATTGTCATACCAGCTCACATTTGCATGTTAACGGTACAAAATTTGGATTCAAGTCCCACATCAAGAAGCCTAACAATTAACAAATAAATAAATACAAAAGAGCATAAATAAGTTTTTCCTTCCTCCTGCTCTGCTCTCTGTCTGTCTGAAGCACCTGGTTCACGTCTCCAGAACATAAATTAAGAAGATTATGGATTTGGTATCGTGGGCGTTCAACTCTATTGATAAGATTTTTTCATCAAAGTGACAAGGTCCTGGAGAACCTGCGTGTCCAGATGAGACTCACGCTGTGGGGTACGTCATGGATTCGTGGGGAGTGTGGCAGATGATGTGCATCACAGTTCTGTCTCAGGAGGATGTTCAAGACGTTTACATATTTGGAATTATGATAGCAGGGACTCTGCTTTTTGGCATCGGCGGGGCTCTGTTTTATCGACTTTTGAAGAAGACATCAGGAGCAGTTTCGGCCATGGAAAAGCTTCAGAGTCAGTGTGAAGGTCTGGTCCTCGATGTGGGAACTTTAAATCATCTGGTTTACGAGGTTAACCGTAAGGTGGAGGCAATTTATGAGAATCTCAGACCACCTGTGGCTTCTGGGACTCGTCAGCGTGGTGGGTTCGACCTTGAAGGAGATTCATAGCATGGATCAGTGGAATGGAATCCCACAATTAGGCATTTTTGGCACCAGAACGCCCAGATGGACTCAAGGCGGCTTTGCAGCTTTACAGTACACAGTTGTAAATCACAGGTGTGTGTTGGTGCTGCTGGGTAAACCATTAAACAAGCCAAGCAGAGTGCTCTCTTCTTTTTTATACCCATCCATCCATTATCTTTACCCGCTTATTTCATTTTGGGTCACGGGGGTCGCTGGTGCCCATGTCCAGCAATCACTGTGCGAGGGGCGGGGTACACCCTGGACGGGTCTCCAGTCCATCACAGGGACACATAGAGACAAACGAGACAAACAACCATTCACTCTCTCACTCACACCTAGGGACAATTTAGAGTTACCAATCAGCCTAACATGCATGTTTTTGGACTGTGGGAGGAAACTGGAGCACCCGGAGAAAACCCACGCATGCACGGAGAGAACATGCAAACTCCACCCAGAAAGGCCCCTGGACCGGGGTTTGAACCAAGGACCTGCTCGCTGAGAGGCAGCAGCTCTACCAGTTGCGCCACCGTGCTGCCCCATTTTTATACCATTATTTTTTAATCATCACACTAATGGAAGAACAAAACCTGCACTTCTGACCCCATATGAACAAATGTTGATTTTACTTTAAAGGTCAATCATTCCTAAAAGGAAAGCACATCACCTGACACTTTCCGTGCACACGTTTCAGACTCAAATGATCTTGAATTGAGAAGTGGTGGAGTTGTGGCCATTTGGATTTTGACTGGAGTCCTGTTTGGGTTTCTTCTTTCAGGAAGGCCCAGTTAGGATATCCACATTGCTCTAGAGCCTGTCTTGTGTGGGATTTCTCCTTCTGTCTGGCTCCTGAGCTAGTGGGGACGCTGTCTGCTCTGTGGTACAGAGTCCTGATGACTCCTAACTTGTGCTCCAAAGGGTGATGGGAGTCAAACTGCAAATACTGGTCTGTGTGGGTGGGTTTGTGGTACACCTCAGTTTGCAAATGTCCTCTATCAGAGACTGAGACCTCACAGTCCAAGAAAGCCAACTTACCATTTTTTACATCTTCTCGTGTGAACTTGATGTATTTATCCACAGAGTTGATGTGGTCAGTAAAATGTTGGACTTCCTGAGATGTAATTTTAACCCAGGTGTCGTCAACATACCTGAACCAATGACTTGGTGGTGTCCCTGAAAAGGACGTCAAGGCTCTCTTTTCTACCTCCTCCATGTACAGGTTGGCAACAATAGGAGAAACTGGAGACCCCATAGCACACCCATGTTTCTGCCTATAATATTGCTCCCCATATGTGAAGTAGGTTGACTGCAGGCACAGTTTCAAGAGTTGACACAGTTGTTCTGTGGAAAGTGTGGTCCTGCTGCTAAGAGTTTAATTTAAAGAAAACAATTTTTTTAAATGTTGTTTGTCACTCAATCTCACCCAAATCATAGACACTCCCACCAGACCAAACAATACATGCCCTGAAAGAGTGTCCATATTAAACCTCTTTTTAACAAATGTGCTCCATAAATTTCCTGGGTTGGGTGATTTGCAGATGATGAGTGACCAGTGTGTTATCTGAGCTCTCAGGGACACTAAACTACCTTGCTCCAAGCCTAGACTAATTCTAAAAATGGACATGAAATGTTTTCGTGAACAGGGCTTCCTTTGGGATCTGTTCCATTTTGACTGGCAAAACCAGTTCACGCCCCGGCCCCGACAACATCAAAATTGTGGGTGGAGTAGGTGAAGCACCCACACTTGCCCCCATCCTCATTCGCCCCACTCTGGGCCCATGAGCAAGGCCCTTAACCCCCATCTGCTCCCTAAACAGGTCTCTCTTGAAAATGAGTTCTCGTGGCTCAATGAGACTACCTGTATAAATAAATGGTAAATTAATTTAAAAAATGCCCCTTTTCACCAGTTCAGAATAAAAGGACGAGACAGCCCCTGGTTTACTCCTGAGCTAACTGACCTCCTACATAGGAGAGATCAGCTTTGGGCTACAGCAAGACATTCTAGCTCAGACACTGACTGGTTGCATTTTCAACAGCTGCGGAATAAATGTACAGCTTCCATTAAAGCCACAAAATGTAACTACTTCTTATCACAGACCTCCAAAGATCTAAATGATCCTAAAATATTCTGGAAAAACATCAAATCACTCTCTGGCAGATCTCATTCATCTGACCTGCCATCACACCTTCTTGTTAACTCTGTTCCTGTGTCAGTTCAGCATGAGATCCTGAACTGTTCAACAGACATTTTGTTGCTTCTAGTTTCTTGATTGCCACAGCTACTAATGGAAAACCAGCTACCCCTTCTTTAAGGCAAACATCTACAAATCATGTCTCTCCTACAAGTCAATCCTCAGTAAACTTTTCATTTTCACTGTTTTCAGTTAGTGGGGTTAATACATTGTTAAAAGGTCTAGATCCTAAAAAAATCTGCAGGCCCTGATGATCTTCCACCTTATTTCTTAAGGCTGACTGCACACATCATTGCAGAACCAGTGTCCCACATCTTTAACCTGTCCATAAGCCAAAACACCATCCCAAACGCTTGGAAAACAGCCTTTGTACTACCTTTACTTAAGGGATGAGACCCCACCTCACTGAACAACTATCGACCAATCTCTAAACTCTGTATTTTAGCTAAGGTCCTAGAAAAACGGATAAACTCTCAAATCAAGAAGTATTTGGATTCTTTTAACATTTTATCTCCCCATCAGTCTGGTTTCATGAAACAACACAGCACAATGACTCTTCACTGAAGGGTTTTAATGACATTGTTGAAGCATTGGATGCTAAGGATTATTGTGCTGCACTGTTACAACCTCCTCAAAACAACAAAGGTTAATTTCTGGCACTAGGTGTAACACAAACAACTAGCAGTTAATGTCAGTGAAAGAACAGTTTTATTTTACAATTTAGGAAAGAAATATCAAACACCAGGGCAAAAATAAAAGGAAAAACAAACAAACACAGGGAAGCTTTAAGCTTCAAGTCTGTACAGAAATGTGGAGACCCGTCTGACTTTGGTGTCAGAAGACATGGAGAGCTCCAGGAGCTACAGCTTTGTACAGCCAAGCCATTTTCCAGTAGGTACTGGACCTCTTTTTTTCATCTGTAGTGGACTAGGCCTCCGATCTCAACCTGTCTCTGAAGACCTTCAGGGGACAGGAACTGTTATTTCATTGATCTGAATCCAGAAATACAAATTATCTCATCAAGAGACTATTTAATTGTATCCTGAATTAATCAATTGAAAGAACACTCTTCTTTTTACATTATCATTACTATTTTAGAAT